CCTCCTCCTTCTCCTCCCCCTTCCCCCTTTTCCACCCCCTCCTCCTCCTCCATCTCCACCTCCTCCTCCATCACCTCCTCCTCCTCCTCCATCACCACCTCCTCCTCCTCCTCCATCACCACCTCCTCCTCCATCCCCACCTCCTCCTCCTCCATCCCCACCTCCTCCTCCTCTATCACCACCTCCTCCTCCTCCTCCATCACCTCACCTCTCCCCCACTGACCTTCGCCATGTCTTTCTCCTTGGCTGCAGGGTCCTGGACATGCCTACCCAGGAACTGGGCCTCCCCGCCTACCGCAAGTTCGACATCGAGGCCTGGATGCCAGGCCGCGGCCGCTTTGGCGAGGTGAGCCCCCGCTCCGGTGAGGACGCAGGGTGGGAGGGGATGGTCCTGGGCCCCCACCACTGATGCTGTCAGCCTGCCCCGCCCCCACGCCCAGGTCACCAGTGCTTCCAACTGCACGGACTTCCAGAGTCGCCGGCTTCACATCATGTTCCAGACAGAGGAGGCCGGGGAGTTGCAGTTCGCCCACACAGTGAGCGCCCGCACACTCTCACGCGCCCTCCCCAGCGCCTCCACTCCCCCAGGCCCGCACCACCTCTGCCCCTCCCCGGGCTGGGTGGCCCCTGGTTCTGAGCGTGCCTCTCTCCCAGGTGAACGCCACGGCCTGTGCTGTCCCTCGTCTCCTCATTGCCCTCCTGGAGAGCAATCAGCAGGAGGTGAGTAGGAGGAAGGATGGCACCAGAGAGGCAGAGGGTGGAGGGCTGGGGCAGTGGCAGCATCCTGAGGCCTGCTCTGTCCCCAGGATGGCTCGGTCCTGGTGCCCCCTGCCCTCCAGCCCTACCTTGGCACCGATCGGATCACGGCGCCCACCCACGTGCCCCTCCGGTACATCGGCCCCAACCAGCCCCAGAAGCCCAGGCTCCCGCCCAGCCCGCCTTGAGCTGAGAACTCGTCCTCATCAGCCAGCAGTGTTGTCACTGCTTCCTGGAGCTCAGGGGGCCCTGGACACCTGGAACCCGTGTTCCTAACGTCTGCATTCCTCCTGTCAGCTCCGCGCCTGGACCCTGGACTCCAGGGTTCACCTGTCCCACTTACCTACTTCCTTGGAGTCAGTCAGGGACCCTGTTGTCATGGGGGCCCCAACTCACACTGGCAAGCAGGACATCTGGGGACTTGAAGGTTCTAGGGATGGGGAGGGAGAGGGAGAGGCCTCCATCCTTCTTCCGCTTCCGTCCCTCAGTGCGTAGCAGCAAGTCCCCAATAAACGGTCAGAACAAAGGCCTTTGTGGATCCGTGAGCGAGGGAGATGGCCCTGGCCGGCCGGCGGGGGTACTGGGCACTTGCTCTGCAATACTTAATCATCAAAGTGTCTACGGCTGCAGGGACCATGGCTGGAAGCGTCCAGCAGCCCCCAGAGCACATGGGGGGTGGCGTGGGGCCACCGGGGGAGCTGGTGGATGCCGAGTCCTCTCCCCTTCCTCTGGGACGAGGGGCACCTCGCGCTGACCCCAGTTTCACCCTCACCCCCTGGTCCTCGGCTCCAGGTGGGGGTCCACTGGGCAGCACAGGCTCAGAGAAGCCAGAACTCACTGTCCCCCTGGCTGAGCCCGTCTCTGCGCACAGCTGTTTGCCCGGCTCTTCCGGCCACACGCTTCAGGTCTTCCTCCCCTCCTCTTCATCCACATCCAGTCCTCCCGCAAACCTGGCAGCTCCTCCCTCAGAGTATTTCCAGAACCTGCCCTTGCTCTCTCGTCCCTCTCTGGATCTGTCCATCGTTATTTCCTGTTTGGAGAGTCATGGCAGCCTCTTTGCTGTCTCCCTGCTCCTTGTCCCCCACACAAAGCCAGGAGACCCTGTGGACCCTTGCATCAGGTCACGTCCCTTCCTTCTCAGAGCCCTCCTGTGGGGAAGGACAGTTGTCACCATGGTTCACAAGGCCCCATGTGACCTGCCCCTCACCTTCCTCTTCAACCCACCTCTTCTCTGTTGTTCTCTGCCCTGCGGGTCTCCCTCTGCCAACTCGTTCCCACTGGGGCCTCTGTACCTGCTGGTCCCCTCCCGGCTATTCCTCCATAGATCTTGTGTGATTCCTCCATTCTATCACTCAGGCCCTAGCCCAGTGTCACCTCTTCAGAGAGGACTTCCCTGACCGCTCCGGCCTAGGTGACCCCCAGCTCTCCGATCTCACCTGCACTAGCACTGCAGCTCTGGCGTGTCCTGCCTCATGTGACATGTGTTTGAGTGCTGTCTGCCTCCCCCGCTCCAGGCGGGCAGGGGAGTTTGCCCGTTCATTCACTGCCGCAGCCCCAGGGTCTAGAAGAGGCTGGGCGTACAGTAGGTGCTCAATAAAGGTACTGGGATGAAGGTGCTCGGACCTGTGCAGTCCCCTGCCTCAGTTACTCAGCCACACACTAATTCATCTCATCCTCCCGCCACGCTGTGGAGTCGGTGTCACCAGCCCTACTTCACCGATGAGGAGACAGGTCTCACAGAGGTTAAGCAGTTGTCCCAAGGCTGCACAGCTGGTAGTGGTGGTGCCCAGGCACAACCCCTGAGGAAGGAGGTTTATGAGACCCACTTTCCAGATGAGGAAACTGGGGCCAAGGAAAGGAAAGAGCTGCCTGAGGTTGATCTGTAGTTGGCTGCCTCTGGATTCGAACCCAGGTCCACCTCCCAGTGTGGCTTTCAGCCCATCAGACCTTATTTCTCTGGGGAAAGAATCCCCCGTTCTCCATGCTGGCGCTCAGGGGCCGGAGCTGGAGGGGAGTGGGTGCAGGGCGTGGGTCCCCATGAATAATTGAGCGTCTCAGGCAGGTCGCCATCCCGCAGCTGTCGCCCTGCCGTGGGCGGGGAGGGGGCAGCGGTGATGTCACCTCCTCCCCTGCGGGGCCATGGGCCGGTTATAAGGAGCTGCCACCCAGCCCGTACAGCGCTGAGCACCCCGATCGGACGCCCCGCCATGCAGCGCCGCGGGCCCGCCCCTGTGCTGCTGCTGCCCCAGCTGCTGGCACTGCTGCTGGGGGCGGGTGAGTGCCAGAACCCAGGGGACCTCAGCAGCCACCGGGGAGCAGGGTGACTATGGGTGGGGACGGTGCAACACAGTGGGGTCGGACTAGAGACTTCCAGGTGGGCCCGGGAGGGGGCTTGTGGGTACCAGGACACCCTTGGAGCTGGAATCAGCACCGGGGACAGCGCCCGGGCCCAAGCCCAACACCATCTCCTTCCTCCACAGCCACCGCGGCTCCCTTGGCACCCAGACCTTCCAAGGAAGAGGTGAGGAGGGTGGCCCCCTTGCCCTGCCTCACATCCCTGGTGCCCTGGCCCTCCCTGCCCAGCCTCCTCCATAAACCTTATCTCCCCTCTAACCCCCCGTCTGCCCTGCCCTCAACCTCCCCTCTGACCTTTCCCCCCCAGCTGACCCGCTGTCTGGCAGAGGTGGTCACAGAAGTGCTGACACTGGGCCAGGCTCAGAGAGGCCCCTGCACGGCTCTCCTCCACAAGGGTAAGGAGCCCCCACCCCACCAGGGTCTGCCCAGGGCTGCCTGGAGGAAGGGGTGTCCTCTTCTCATTCCAGAGCCCTCCTTCCTGGGCTGGCACGGCACTGCCCAGAGGGTCCAGCCTGATGGAGCCTGGGCCCCAGCCCCACCCTGGGGGCTCCCTGCAGAGGAATGGGGTAGAGACAGAGAATGTCCTCCAGCGCGCCACCCTCCTCTCCCTGTCCTGGGCAGTCCCCCTGAGGGACCTTGGGCAGCCCCCAGAACTCCTCTGGGCCTGTCTCCAGATCTGCATCCTCTCCCTTTCCTCCAGAGATGTGTGGGACAGAGCCCTATGGCTGTGCGTCCACTGAGGAGAAAGGCCTCCTGGTTGGGGACTTCAGGAAGCAGGAGGCTGGGAAGACAAGGTCCAGCCAGGAGGTGAGGGACGAGGAAGAGGAGGAGGCAGCAGAGAGGACCCACAAGTCTGAGGTGCGGGAACAGGCCATCCGCAAGCAGCTGCACGGCCGGCTTCACCAGGAGGACGACCACGAGGAGGAGGAGGAGGAAAAGAAGAGGGGGCCCGCGGAGACCTTCAGGGGCCTGTGGAAGCGGCGTCTGGAGGGTGGAGGGGGGCCCCAGAAGCGGGTGGCGGAGCAGGCCAGTGACGAGGAGACGGCCCAGCTCGCCGCAGAGGAGAAGGGCGTGGAGGTGCTGGGCGGGGGCCGCCGCCTGTGGCAGGGGGCCGAGGGGCGTGGAGCAGAGCGGCCGGAGAACTCGCCGCACCACCACCTCCGCCAGCCGGACGCCGAGGCCAAGCAGGAGAAGGACGAGGCTTCCGAGTGGGAGGTGAGTGGAGGCGGCGGCGGGGGCACGGGGTGGACCAAGTGTTAGCAGAATTGCTACCAAACAGGGTTGGGCCACAAACAGCAAGATCCACCACAAATGATCACAGTGACCAGGACTAGGGAGCAGGGCCTCTACTTGACCAAGATGGCTCCCATACCGGGATCACAGGAACCACGACGGCCACCCTGACTGCAGACGCGTCCCCGTTAGCCACCACTGCCAGTCCAAAACAAGCAAGTTGGCCACATGGAAAGTGGCCGCCGTGCCTGGTTCACCGGGCTACAGAACCATTGCTGGGCCATGGAAAGCGAGATGTCACCAGGATTGGTGGTGGTAGCCACAATGGCCATCCCATCACAAATGGGTCATGGTATCCGGGTTGGGCACCTTTGCTAGTCCCACGTCTTGGCTGTTGGCTCTTGAGTCAACACAGACCTCACGCGTTGGCCAACAGAACTCTTCTAGGGTTACAGCGACCGCTGTGGTCACCATCGCAATCCATGATGACCAGGATGACCACTGCTGGCTGCCATTGTGCGAACTCATATGGCCACCATCATGGGTGACCACTGAGGCGGCCTGCCCTCAAAGGTGGGTGCTGACCACCCGTTTCTGATCCCACCAGGAGCATGATATGGAGCGGCTGGAGCGCATGAGAGAGGAGCTGAAGAAGGCCACAGAGATGTTGGGGGAGGAGCTCCAGAGGGCAGGCTGACCCCCGACCCCATGTCCTCCTCCTTCCCGACACACCCTATGGCTTAGGACTGTTGACCCCCAGAGCCCCCACCTGACTTGGCACCCGCTCCACTCCCCCACCTGCAGGAGTAGGGACAAGGGTGTGCCCTGGGACCAGGCCTGAGGGGCCAAGTCTGAGCTGGGGAGAGGTGCTGGGCTCAGACTGACTCAGGAAACACCCCTGACACCAGTCTCACCCACTCTGACCCTTCCAGGCGAATAAAGCACAGAGAAAACCACCCAGGCATATGTGCAGTTCTTGCTTTTGGAGGGATGGGGCCCAGGAATAAACTAGAGGACTGGGAACACGGCCGGCAGTCGAGTCTCTGTGGTCAGAACTGGGATTTTATTAAACTGGAAATTCTATTAACAATGAAGTCAGACAGGGTCTTCAGGGAGAGTTTTTGAGGCTGGGGTGGGAGGTAGCGGGTTCTGGCGCCGGCCTCTGTGGACCACGATGTCGTCGTATTCATCCTGGGGGCAGAGGGGACAGGCAGAGGGCCTCAGGCGGCTGCCACCTGCCAGCTGCCCTTCCGCCCACCCGAAGAATTGGCTCTGGCCTTGAAGCCTGAGATCCCCTGCTCCTACTTCAACTTCCCTGCTCCCGGTTCTCCGACCACCACTTTCAAGGTCGCCTCTCCCCGGCCTGTGTCCTCCCCCGCTCTGAGACCACTGCTGTTCCAGCTTCTCAGCAGCCACAGCCCCCGAGGTCTCCTTCTTCCAGCCCCTCCCTCTGTGTTTACCCAGATGCCTCAACCCCCACATGCAACGTCACCCCCTGCCCGAGGCAGTGTCTCTGCTGCCTGGGCTCTCCAGTGAAATCTCACCGCTGGCTAAGGTCTTTCCCCACTGCTGCAAGTGTTCCGATCACTGCTGCCCAAGGTCATCTTCCCGCAGCCTGAGTTCTACTCTTGCTCACTCCCCACGCTGCCCCCCTGCTGCCTATGGTTACCAGTCACGACGACTGAGGCCTTTTCTCTGCCTCTGCCTGAGTTCTACCTCTGCCACTGCCTTCATTTCTCAACCACCGCTGCCCAAGTTCTTCCCGCCACCCCTGGCCAGGTCTCCCCTGATCACTGCCCAAGATCACTTGCACTGCCGCCTGAGTTCTCTAATTGCAGCAGCCCAAGGTTGGTCTCAGCGTGCTGCCTGATGCCTCCTCCCCCTCTTCCTACCTGCCCGTTTACCCTGACCCCCCAGCTGGGCTGCCCGGTCTCTTCTCCTGACTCACGCCCTCGTCCCCACTGTCGCTGTCACTACTGCTGCTGCAGGGGCCAGGCCTGTCGTCCTCCTCCTCGGGTTCAGGCGCTCCGTGTGCACGGAGGAGGCGGGCAAGGATGGGGTTGGGCCTGAGTGTGGCGCTGCCCAGCGGGGTGCGGCCACCGTACATGCGAGCAGCGGGGTCGGCACCCGCCCTCAGGAGAAGCTCCAGCACGTCAGCTGCCTGGGCCTCCACTGCCAAGTGCAAGGGGCTCCGACCGCACGTGGGCTCCTGCGGGGGGCAGCAGAGAGGTCAGAGGAGGCCCTGCCCCATGCTGGGGACAGCCCCCACCCCGCCACACCTTCTCCCCAGGGCGGCTCACCGGTTTGTTGAGGTCAGCTCCGGCCTCCCGGAGCAGTCGGACCATCTCTGCATCTTTGTGGATGATGGCCACATGGAGTGGGGTGTGGCCTGGGGACAAAGGGTCTGGTGTCAGACAATGGAGACAATGCCATGCTCCTGGGGGAGGGCTTCATGGCCTAGGGGTGCTCAAGTTTGGGGTCTGGCTCCTGAACTCCTGGGTATGTCGAAGAGGCAGCTGCCTCCCAAATGCCTAACTCTCCGGTGCTGGAGAGTGCCAATGCCTGGGTCGTGGGGTGTCTGGGGCCTACGGGGGAGGAGCCTGGGGGCTCCAGATGGGAGGCCTGGACCTTGGGGCCAGGAGATCTGAGTCTCTGATCTTACTTCATGAAGGACCTGGACCCCAAATTCCGGGGCCCTGAGTAGTTGAAGGGCCTGTGACCTTGGGGGGTGGGATGGGCCCTGAACACTGGGTCCTGGGTGATTTCAGTCCCCTTGGAGGAGCCTGGTCCCAGGCAGTTGGGTTTAGAGATGGGGGAGCTGAGACTCAGACGCCAGGGCCCTGGGTAGATGCGGTCTTTTTTCTCATGAGGCCTGGCCACGGAGGGCTGACCCCGAACCCAGTGTCAATTTCTGGGAACCTGGGCTGCCAGTTTCACAGAAGGCCTGGGCCTTGAGTTCCCCTGTCCTGGGGGGTTTAGGATCTCTGGGTGGTGGTGATGGGGCTCCAGGGTGACCTGTACCTTCCAGCTGGGGAGCCTCAGCCTGACAACTGGATCTTAGCAGCTCTAAGCCTGTGGGTGACAGGTCTGGGGTCCCCAGCTGGGGGTCCTGGGTCCCACATGTCCATTCTCAATAATCTGGGGCCTGAGCGGGAGTCCTTGGTCCTGATGCCTGGGTCCCTGAAGCCTCAGGATTATTTCCCAAGGGGCTGGGTCTTGAGTCAGGAGAGCTGAGCTAGGAGCCGTGTCTGGAGCCTGGAACCTTCCCAGGGACTGGGAACCTCACCCTCGTAGTTTTCAGCCTCCAGCTGTAGCTTCCAGTCCTCCTCACTCTCATCCTCCTCCTTCTCCAAGTCGGGGTTGGGGTACAAGGCAACAGGAGCAGGGTCAGTGTCAGGGGTGTGGTCAGGGTCCTGGGCGAGGTAGGTGCTGGGGGCTCCCCGGGGGCGCCGGGGGCGGGGCTGGAGCAGCGCACGAGCGCAGGCATGTGCCCCCACGCGGCAAGCCAGGTGCAGCGCCGTGTGGCCCCCACGCTCCGCCACGTGCAACCCAGCGCCCGCTGCATACAACTTCTCCACTGTGGATGCCTCCTCCAGGATGGCTGCCAGGTGCAGGGCTGTCTGCAGGGGCAGAGGGCAGGGATTAGGGGTCACCCTGAGAATCCTGGCCCCCAAGACCTACACTGTCCCCCGGTGGCTCACCTGGCCCAGGTCATTCTGCAGGTCCAGGTACTCAGTGCCAGCCGCGAAGCCCAGGAGGAAATCCAGGAAGGGCTCGTGCTGATGAATCACCGCCAAGTGCAGTGCCCTGAGGACAAAGACCAGGGTCAGAGGGCAGAGGTCAAGTACTCTCATATTCCTTCGCTCAACAAACATGGAGTACCTACTGTGTGCTAGGTATTGTGACCACAGTTCTGGAACCAGCTGTCAGAAATCTAGGAGAGTCAGGTCACAGTTAATTCAGCAAATTTGTTTAATCAATATTTATTAAGTAGGACTTCTACTTCCTCCCAAGATAAAGTAACTTGGACCAGATTTCCCTCCCATCTGAATCAACCAAAAAAATCAGACAAAATATAGTATATGAAACAATAGTTTTCAAGACCCTGGACATCATGCAATGAATGACAGTGATCCTTGAGAGACAGGAAACCAACGACATGAGCCCTTCAACTGAATGCCACAGTGCGCTGTGTTGAGAGTTTCCAAGCCACAGAGCAGAGGTGGGGAACCCAGGCAGGGCCCAGCAGACGGCCTGAGGCGAGGAGATGGTGATGAGTGTGGGGGCGGCAAGGTGGCTAGAGTCATGGAGCAGAGACGCGAGAGGACAGTACCCCACAGGAAGAGACCCTAGAGATCTGCAGGGGGCCTCTTAAATATTTAGGAGAACACTGATCAGTGCATGGGTGTGAGGAAACTACCCTCGTCCAGGGGAAAAACCATCCAAAAGGATTAGAGAATCACATCCATTACTCACACGGAAAGACCCATAATTCACAGGACATTGGGTAGAATACTCAGCAAGGTTTTACCTCAGTAGTGGGGAAATGAGTCCTAGACAGACCACTGCTCAGGACCCACCTAACAACTCATAAAAGCAAAATGCAAAAGGATCAAGCTACTTGCAAGTAATTTAACTGCAGCCCAGAACAATACGCAGGAATATTTATAGGAATACAAGATATCCAGCCTAGCAAGGTAAAATCCACAATGTCTGGCATCTAATCAAAGATTACCAGGCATGCAAAGAAGTGGGAAAACATGGTCCATAATGAGAATAATCAATCAATTGAAACTGACCCAGAAATGAGCCAGGTATTAGAATTAGCAAATAAGAATATTAAAACAGTTCATTTTAACTGTATCCCATACCCTCAAAAAGTTAAGTAGAGACATGGATGATAAAAGAAAAAGACTCGAATTGAACTCCTAGAGACAAAAACTAGTGTCTGAAATGAAAAATACACTGGATGGGATTAACAACAGATTACACATTGCAGAAAAAAGGATTCACGAACTTGAAGACTTCATGATAGAAACTATCCAGGATGAAACACAAAGAGAATATTTCAAAATGAAAAGAACATCAGTGAGCTGTGGGACAACTTCGAGCAGCCTAACACATTTGTAACTGAAGTCTCTAAAGAGGAGGGGCATAGACAAAATACTGGAAGAAATAATGTCTGGAAAATTTTCCAAATTTGATGAGAACCATAAACTCGCAGATCCAAGAAGCTCAATGACTCCCAAGAACAAGAAATACGAAGAAAGCTACACCAAGGCCCATCATTAAAAATCTGTTCAAAACCAATGATAACAACGATAAAGATCTTAAAAGCAGCCAGAGAAAACAATTTCTTAAGTACAGAGTAATAAAAACCAGGATGACAGCAGATTTCACGTAGGAAATAACACAAGAGAACACAATGGAGCAACACTTTGAAAGTACTCAGAGACAGACTGTCAACCTAGACTTCTTTAACCCAGCAAAACTATCTCAAAAACGAAGACAAAATAAAAGTGTTTTCAGATATACAAAAGCCAAAGGAACTCGGCAGACCCACACCACAAGAAATGTAAAAGGAAATCTGCAAGCAAAAGGAAAACGCTCCCAAATGGAAATATGGATCTATCCAAAAGAATAAAGAACACTGGAAATAGTAACTATATGGATAAATATATAAGTTGTTTTCTCTTAGTATGTGAGTCTCTTTAGAAGACAACTTTTAAAAAATAATTGACTGTTTAAGCAAAAATAATAACAACATATGGTGGAGTTTATAACATATGTATAAGGAAAATGTATGACATTTTACATATACACAAAGGCCAGGAGGGGACGAATGGAAATATACTATTCTAAGGTTCTTTTACTCTAGGTGAAGTGGCATAACATCACTTGAAGGGAGCCCATAATAAGTTAAAGCTGTACTATCCCAGAGCAGGAGTCAGCAAACTTTTTCTGTCAAGGGCCAGGCAAACATTTTAGACTTTGTGGATCATATGGTCTCTCTTGCACCTACTCATGCAAACGCAGCCACCGTCAATATGTAAGTGAATGTGGCTCTATTCCAACTGAACTTTATTTATGGAGTCTGAAGTTAGAATTTTACATAGTTTTCACTTGCCACAAAATATTCTCCTTTTTATTTTTTTTCAACCATTTAAAAATGTAAAAACCTTTCTTAGCTCACGGCCATACAGAAGCAGGTGGCTGGCTGGATTTTGCCTGGAGCCATAGTGTGCCAACCCTTGTCTTTCAAAGCAACCACTAAAAATAACAAAACAAACAGTTAAAGCTGAGAAGCCAACAAAAGAAATACAATGGAACAAAATTTACTCCTTCACAAAGAAGGCAGAAAAAGAGGAAAAGAGAAACAAGGAAGAGATAAGTAGAAAACTAATAACAAGCTGATAAACTTAAACATAACCGTATCAATAATTAAATTAAATGTAAATGGCCTAAACACTCCAATTAAAAGGCAAAAATTGTCAGGTTGACTTAAAAAGTAAAACTCAACTCTATGCTGCCTACAAGAAACATTCTTTAAATATAAATATTAAAAAATAGGTTAAGGGGGCCGGTCCCGTGGCGTAGCAGTTAAATGCACACGCTCCGCTGCTGGCAGCCAGGGTTCGGATCCCAGGCGTGCACCGATGCACTGCCTGTCAGGCCATGCTGTGGCGGCGTCCCATATAAAGTGGAGGAAGATGGGCACAGATGTTAGCCCAGGGTCAGTCTTCCTCAGCAAAAAGAGGAGGATTGGCATGGATGTTAGCTCAGGGCTGATCGTCCTCACAAAAAAAAAAAAAAAAAAAGGTTAAAAATAAAAGGGTGGAAAACGATATACCAGGCTAACACGAGTCACTCAAAAGAAAGCAGGAGTATTTTCTGATCAGACAAAGTAGATTTCAGAGCAAGGAATATTAGCAGGGATAGAGAAGGTTATATCATAATGATAAAGAAATCAATTAATCAAGAGGACATAATAATCCTAAACATTTGTGCCTCTAATAACAGAGCATCAAATTACATGGAGCAAAAGGAGAAATAGACAAATCCACAATTATTGTTTCAGATTTCAATACCCTTCTCTCAACAACTGATATAACAAAGAGACAAACTCAACAGCAAGGATATAGACCTGAACAATGCTATAACCAACACAACCTCTAACTGACATGTAAAGAACACTACACTACCAACAGCAGAATACACCTTCTTTTGAAGTGTACACACAACATTCTGAGCCATAAAACAAGTCTCAATAAATTTAAAAGGATTCAAGTCATACAAAGTATGTTCTCATCCACAAGGGAACTAAATTAAAAATCAATAAAAGACAGATATTTAGAAAGTCTCCCAGATATCTGGAAACTAAATAACATGCTTCTAAATAATCCACCGGCCAAAGAAGAACTCAAAAAGAAATTAGAAATTATACTGAATTAAATGAATTGAAATGAAAATAAAGACACACAGGGGCCTGCCCAGTGGCACAAGTGGTTAAGTGTGTGGGCTCCGCAGCGGCGGCCTGGGGTTTGCTGGTTCGGATCCCGGGCCATGCTGTGGCGGCGTCCCACATAAAAAGTGGAGGAAGATGGGCACGGATGTTGGCCCAGGGCCAGTCTTCCTCAGCAAAAAAAAAGAGGAGGATTGGCAGATGTTAGCACAGGGCTGATCTCCTCACAAAAAAAAAGAAAAACACACATATCAGAACTTGTGAGATAGTGCTAAAGCAGTACTCAGGGAAATTTACAGCACACGACACCTTGATTAGAAAAGAAGAAAGGTCTCAAATCAACGACCTCAGTTTCCACCTTAAGAAACTAGGACGAGAAGAACAAATTAAACCCAAAGTAAGCAGAAGAAAGGAAATAATGCAAGTCAGAACAGAGATCAATGAAATAGAAAGAAAAAAAATAGAGAAAAGTAATGAAACCAAAGCTGGTTCTTTGAGAAGATCAATGTTTACTGAATGCTCCTATGGGGAGACAGGAGAAAACACAACACACAAACCCAGGGACAACCCCCCCTGGGCTTTTACAACTGTTGTTCCTTCTCCCTGGACTGCTCTTCTCCCCAGACAATCTACTTGTCTCATTTTCCCGCTTTATTTTTCTCCAAAGAACTTACTGCCTTCTAACATACCACTTTTCTCTCTTTTTCTTCTTTCATTTCTTTCTGTCTTAGTTTCTTCCCGTCTTTCGCTTCTTTTCTCTTTCTTTGTGCCTTCCTCTATGTCTTGTCTGTCTGTCTTTCCTTCTGTCTCCCTTTCATTCTCTCTTTCTCTCTCCCTTTCTTTCTCTTTCTTTTCTTCTCTCTCTCTCTTTCTCTCTCTCTTTCTTTTTCCTCTCTTCCTTCTTGTCTGTCTGTCAGTCTGTCTGGCTGTCTACATACCTCCACTAGAATGTATGCTCCACAGGGCATATGTTTTTGTCTGTTTTCGTCTCTTGCCTTATCACCAGCACCTCAAACAGGGCCTAGAACATGGCAGCGTTTGATAAATATTTGTTTAACAGCTGAATCCCTGCTGTCACAGAGCCTATATTTTCTCTTTGAATGTAAGATTTGAAAACTAGTGCTCAGAAGGTGGGATCTTAGAGTCAAAGGCCAAGTATTAATTGGGAAATCAAAGACAAAGGCTCATAAATCAAGAGCTAAGGATCAACGATCATATTTGGAGATTAGAGGTCAGGAAGGGCCTGCCTTAGCTACAGTTCTAACAAAGGTCTCCGGACTGGGGTCAGGAAGGTTAAATTGACTTTTGAGATCAATGGATAGGGATGTGGAAATCTGAGAACCTGAGTTCAAGAAAGGACGGTCAGAAATTATTGGATTAGGATCAAAGCTGGAGAGGAAATTGGTCTTATTAAAGGTTAGGACTTGGGGGTTAGAGATCAGGAAGTCAAGCATCAGAAGTCAGATTTAGGATGAGAGGTTGGGAAGCCGGGATCAGAAACTAACAGGGAATCAGATGTGGATCCTAGGGCCCGGTTAGGCAACCTAAGGTTCACTCACGTGTCCCCATCCTCAGTGACGTATCCGAAGACGAGGGGCGCCCACGATAGCCCTGGGCCCAGCTCCGCGCCCAGCCCCGGTCCTCCGGGGGCCGCCGCATCCGGACCCAGAGAGCCCAGGCCGCTGTCGCACCATTCGTCGGCGTCCGAGGCTTTCCCCAAGCACGCGACCCCGGCCATGGCCCCCGAAGCCTCAGGGGCCCCCAGCGGCCGCCCGCCTGTCGCTGGGCTTTGCCTGGATGTCTGGCGCTTCCGCCCTGCGGGGAATTCCCCAACCCGCCCCCTGACTCACCCAATCAGCGTGGGCTAAATAGCACATGCCCCGCCCCCGTACCACACTGTGACCAATCAGAGTATTCAGATGGACTGCGGCTCTCTATCCATTCCCACATTTTCCGGGCGCCCTTTACCAACATGGCTGCTGGCGCGGGGCACTCTGGAACTCGTAGTCTGGCCCTCGGGAGTCTTCATTACCTGAGAGGCTGCGAAAGCTTATTTGCGGCCGCGATGGCTGCTGGGAGTTGTAGTTCTCTGCCCTATGTCTGCCCCTCCTGTTTCCGGTGCCGTCACGGGACAGAGCAGTCGGTGACAGCTCCTAGGGCCCCCGCCCCGCGTCCATGGCCGAGCCGGACCGTGAGTCGGGGGCCCCGGTGGGAGGGTCGGGCCGCGCCGGGGCCTGGCTGAGGGCTGCAGGCCCCGGGGCCCCAGGGTGGGCTTGATGGGGGCAGCAGATAGGGGCTGCGTAGGGGGGCGAGTGGGACTCGGTGGGCCGTTGCTAAGTGATCCGTATTGCTAGGTCGGTGGGTTTCTGGGTCGCGAGGTTTTAAGGGTCCGTTTGCCACGTCCCCCAAGTTACCCATGATCGCGTGTTTCTCGCACCTTGGTCGCTAAGGACCTTCGTTTCTAAGGACTTAGGTTGCTGCGGTCCCGGTTGCTAAGGGTATCTGGTTGTTGGAGGGAGCTGTAGGAAGCTAGGGGACCCCTGATATCCCCTCCTGTCTCTTCCCTCTAGTTCCTGTGCCTCTCCTAAACCTACCATTCCCACCACGCCTCCTCTCCAAACCTGCCTCCAGTCAGAGTATCTCTCCTTATCTTCTCTTACTTTCTAAACTTCCCTCTGCCTGTAAACCTGACCCTCTCCGCGCACACACTCGCATACTATTATGTCCTCCCTACCTCGTCCTGTCTTCCTCCATGCCCTATATGCTTTACTTTCTCCTCCCTCTCCTAAACTTTCCCGTCCCAGCCTCTGTCCCTCACTAACCACCTCTCCCCCAAGCCCTCTCCACTCAAATAAGATCTGCTTTTCCCCATCCCCTCCCTCCCTCTACTCCGTTTTTACTCCCACTGCCCCCACCCCAGTATAACTAGGTTGGTGGGTCTTCTTGCCCCCTGCTCCCCTACTTTGAAGCCCTTCATTCCCCCTAACCATTCCCCCCACTGTAACCACATCTACTCCCCCTCCTCCCCCAGCCTCTGACCCTCTGGAGACCCAGGCAGGGAAGGTGCAGGAAGCTCAGGTGAGATGGGGAAAGGGTGGAGGGAAGGAGAGAGATGTGCTTGTTCCCACACCCCACTCTCCTGGGGGAGGTGACAGAGGGGAGACAGTTACCCCAGGGCCCTCAGCTCGCTGCCCCAATCCCTCACCCCACCTCCCCGGTCAGCCTCCTGGGGAATGGTGGATTCTGGGGACTGTCAGAGAAGGTCGTGCAGCCTCAACCCCAAGCCCTCTCCCCAAATCCCTCCCCCATCTCCCCACCTCCGCCAACCTTTCTGAACCTCATTTGTGTCAGGGCTGGAAGAGACACGTATCCCATCTGGTCCCTGAACTCATGGATCTCAGGGACAAATGACTAGAAAATGACCCTACAGGGCGATTATGAAAGTAGCTCAGGGCACTGTGGGAGCCCAGAGGCAACTTTGTGGGGTCACAGAGATTCCAGCCAGTCCCTTCCCTGGAGGAATCCACGGGCTGGTCTAGGAGTCAGACTGAGGTACAGACACATCATAGTAAGTGAAGAGTGCCTTAGTGTTTCCTTAGGCAAGATGAGAAGTGATGTTCCACGCAGAGGGTCCAGCCTGTGCAAAGGCTGGAGGGGCATGAAAGAGGGTGATGTGTTCAGTAGTCGGTGGCTGGGGCGGTCAGCTACTTATATTCATGGGTACTTACTCCAGCCAGGTGCTCTGCTTAGTGTTCTATATGCATCATCGCATTTCATCTTCCCAGCATCCCTGTGCGTGGCAAGATGTATCGTGGCCATTTTACAGACGAGGAATTTGAGGCAGAGTTGTCAAGCCCGTTGTCCTCTGTTTGCAACCCACAGCACTTGACACACACAGTGCCTTCCAGATGCTTTGGGGAGAGGTAGATAGGCCGCCTCACAGAGACTCGAAGGCCCCGCCAGCACCTCCAGCTCCCCCTGAGCCGAGTTGCCCCCACGTGCTGGGCAGGGCCCTCGAGTCCTTCCACAGAGCCTCACTGTCTGCAGCCTGAAAGAGTGCCAGCCCACCCACAGACGCGAGGCTGCTGTTCAGATGTGGGGCAGAGCAGAGCTGTGACTAGAGCACCCTACAGCTGCCCGGCAGAGGGTATAAGAGCCTCCATCAGGCCGGGGCTTCTCCCTCTGGCTCCCCAAGCCCGACCACTGTCAGAGAAAAAGGTTGCATGTTAAAAAGGAATCCTCAGTCCCAAAGAGAGAGATTCAGGATGTAAATTGCAGCATTGTCTGTGACAGGGCGAAACTAGAAACAGCTGGAATGGCTGTCAGTAGACGGGTGAAATGAACTATGGTGCATCCTTACAATGCAACTCTGTAGCTGCTTAAAAGAAGGAGGTGGGTCTATAGTGTATTGTTCCAAGGAAAATGCACGGTGCAGCATCGTACTATGGTATGACCCATTTCTGGAAAAATAGTGAGGTTTCTATGCAGAGAAAAAATCTGGAGTAATGATTGTACTGCTAATAGCGGTTGTTATCTCGCCGGGGTGGGTGAGAGAATTACCAGGCAAGTGCCCAAGTTATACATTGTCTAATGGTCAGAGTTTTTGCAAAGTTTATATAATCTTAAAAAGCAATAAAACAATTTAAATATGTTTAGAAAGGAGGTTCCTATACTAAAAGGCTTGGAACCTGAGAGGGATTAATGGGGGAGAGGGTTGTAGGAGGGGTTTAAGCAGGAGAGTGAGTTGATCAGAATTGCGTTTTTATGAGGTCTGTTGCAGGGCCCAGCCCTGGCCCAGCACACAGCAGGTATTTGTTCAGTGATGGATAGTTCTGGAGCTCCTGCCAGGTGCCAGACCCTGTTCTTGTGCTGGACGTCCAGGGGTGAACACGCAACATCCCTGCCTTCGTGGAGCCGATATCGTGGTAGACTCTGGCTGTTCATGATCAGAGGATTAGACCGGAGAAGCCAAAGGGAAGGGTCTTTGCAGTGGAGGCGAGCGGGCTGACCCGGACAGGCCATCACGAGGAGGGTAGCAGAGTAGATCGGAGACCGAAGCTGGGAGCCTAGGGACCCTGGTGGGAGAGGACGGGCTAGACCAGCTGGAGCCCTGGGGAGGGGACACATTATGGCGGGAGGGTAGGTGGGAAGTGTCTGGCCGACTGGGAAGCCACGCTAAGATGGGACCCAGGAGGAGGAGCAGGTGTGGCAGAGATGCTGAGGCTCGTTTGGGACTCGGTGGGAGTGAGGTGCCTGGGGTCCCTTAGGGGGAGGCATCCAGGAGGCTGCGGGAACCCTGGATCTGGGGACAGAGAGGTGACATCGTCAGTGACTGGGCTGAGGCCATTGGCAGGGATGAGGCAGCCCTGGGAAGGTGGAGAGAGACAGCAGGGAGGGCCGGGGACAGGGCCCTGAGACCTGCAATCAGGGAGCCTGGCCGAGGGGAGGAGTGGAGAAGGGCAGTGGGGGGATTGGAATGGTGGTGTCGGGGCTTCAAGCAGGAGGGTGAGGACCGGGGCCTTCCCACTGGGTTATTCCCAGGAATGCCTTTGAGGAGGGCTGTGGGGTGCTGGGACGGGGCGAGACCCACACCACAGGGGCCAAGAGGGGCGCAGGGCGTGGCTGTGGATACCAGGCACGTGATCGTGACCATAGCCATCGCTTCCTGAGCACTCGCCCCGCAGGGTGCTGTTCTAAGCACCTCACGTAGGTTAACTTACCTCATCTCACAGTAGCCCTCCGAGGTGGGCGCCCTCGGAGCTCCATGTCGAAGATAAGGGGCGCCAGGACTCAGAAAAGCGAAGTCGCTCGCTCGAGATTATGCTCCTCCGAGGGGCAGGGCCAGGTCTCCACTGCAGGCAGCCTGTCCCAGTGCCCACACTCTGGCCCCCAGCATTCCCCTCCAGCGCCCCTCGCGTCCTCGGGCCCACCTCCCAGGCAGAGCCTTTCCCCCAAACCCCGGTGTCACGCCACTCCCCCTCCCTCCCTAACCCTTCTGGGGCCTGGCCACCCCACCCCACCCCTTCCAGGACTCAGACTCAGACACTGAGGGAGGAGCGGCTGGCGGAGAGGCAGAGAGTGAGTATCTCCCTCGGGAGCCCACCCCGGGGGGCGGTTTAGGGCAGCGATCTGGGTGACACCCCTCACCTCCACCAGGGGTGACATTCACAGTAGGTAAAATGGGTTCGCTGCCAGCCCCTGGAGGCCCCTTGCTGGGCCAGGCATCAAGCCTTTAGTTGTGGAAAGGGGGGGGTCCCCAGGACTGGGGCAGGGACACTCAGGACATCTGTGTACCCAGCTGAACGCCCACCTGGCCGCTGTCTCTCTTCTTTTTGGCCAGTGGACTTCCTGCGGAATTTCTTCTCCCAGACGCTGGGTCTGGGCACCCAGAAGGAGCGTCTGCTTGACGACCTAACCGTGGAAGGGGTGTCCCGCTACATGCAGAGCGAGCGCTGTAAGTCCCCTGCCTGCATGGGGCCCCAGGTGACTTCTCTGCCCCAACCACTTGAACCACTCATCTTTTGTTTGCAAGTAACGAGAAACCCAACTCAGCCTGGCTTTAAAAGAGCCAGAAAAGGAGTGTGTTGACCCTGTAACTAAAATCCAGCTTTAGGTATGGCTGGATCCAGGGGCTTCCATGTTGTCAAAAATTCCTAACCCTCTCTGGAGCTGCTTTCTCTGTGTTGGGTAGCTATGAGTACAAGTTTCACTAGCCTAGCAGCTCCCACTGAAGAGAGCTGCTTTCTCCCAAATATCTTCCATATATTTGTTCAAACAAAAGAGCAGAGATTGGCTCCACTTGCCTCAGGTTGGGTCACATTCCTATCCTGAACCAGTCACCATGTCTCTGATTGGCCAGACCTGGGCCACATCTCCATTGCTGAACCAGTGACTGTGCCCTCATTGGCCAGGCCCATTTGATGGAATGAATATGATAGTAATAGTATCTACTCCATGGGGTTCTTAGGGGTTAAATAAGTTAGTATAGATGTGAATGCCTGGAACAGGGCCTGGAACAGCATGAGCTATGTGAGCGCTCCCTGTGATTATTGCTACAGGAGGCTTGTTTCAGGTCTGGCAAAGAGGTACCTCTCTACTGGGCCACCATGTCATTTCTATTTCTTGGTGCGGGTTGAGGTCAGCAGAGTCTGAGAAACCAGGCCCTCGGCACTCCTCGACGAGAACAATCGCCCCTTTGAGGGTCCTGAAGGGCCTTTTGTTGCGGGCGTCTTCTCCACTTTCCCTGACCTCCAGCTGCTACCGTCTCCCCCCTCGAGCAGCCCAGCCGCCACCCTGAGCCTCCCTCTCCTGGGCGGGCCAGGCAGCCGCCTGCAGCCATCTTCTAGCTTGGGTGGTCCCCAGAGAACGCAGGCAGTGGCCACACCGCATAGGTTCCTCCCTGCGTCTGGGTTTTAGGATCATTGGCTCATGAGGGGTGTCTATGAGGGGATGGTAATCAATAATAACAATTAATTGAGTCCTGGCTGTTTGCCAGGCACGCGGCTAAGCACTCAGCAGGCATCCTCTCATTTGGACTTCAGATTACGCTTGTGAGGTCATTACAGGAGTGATCTGGACAGAGGAGGAAACTGAGGCACAGAGAGGCTGTGACTTGGTGCAGGGTCACACAGCTGGCACGAAGCAGAGTCAGGACTCGACTCCCTGACTCCAGAACACATGCTCCCTCCCACATGGCCCCCACTGGCGCCAGCCGGGCCTGGTCTGATGGCATCCCCGAGACGAAGCCAAGGGACTTGTGTGTGCCCGTGTGCCCAGCTGACACACAGACGCCAGGGTACCGGGGGAGGGCTGCCACCCGCCAGCAGCTGAGGAGTTAGCAGGGCGATGGCACAGCCCGCCATGCCTGTCAAATGATTCGACCCTCCAGCGTCTTCCTGTCTCCTTTTCTGAAAGCTGGTGGCAAGGGGGAACAAAGTACTTCTAGTACACGCATTATGGGTGTAAGACATTTAGTACAGTTGACTCAAAGAATCGCAGCAAACACGTACACAGTGTTTGCTCAGACCTGAGCTTTCCGTGAATTAATTCTCTCAAAAGTACTGTGATTACACCCATTTCACTGAGCAGGAACCTGATGCCCTGAGTGGGGATCTGAACTAAGACCCCCGCTGGTGAGCAGGAGAGCCAGGATTTGCAGCCCTTCTCCACTCTGCTGTTCAGTGGGCGTGGCCGAGAGTGGCAAATCTTTGGTCTTTCCCTGCAAATGACCAGTGGCTGCTGTGTGTTTGCAGAGTAATCAAAAGTCATACGATGAAGACTGTGTATGATATGCTAGAAGTAGATGATCCTCCAAGACTGTGTCCAGACGATGAAATGTGCCCCGAGATTTCTGCAATGACCCGCCGCTCTTCTGGGAGCCCCCGCCCCAGCCTTCTCACTAAGATCTTGTGCCTTTTTGTCTGGATCGAGTTAGGGGGAGAAACTCTCTCCAAGTGGCCTTTTCTCGAAACTAAGCTGGTATAATTTCAAGCAGGGGATTCTTTGTTCCCATGCCGGCTCCTCGACCCGTTGACTCTGTGACCCCTCCCCTCTCTGGGCCTCGGTTTCCTCATCTGTACAGTGGGGATGTTAACACCACCCGCCTGGAGATGGCTGGGGGGAGCGTTCATGCATCTGAAATGCTTGCCCCAGGGCCTGGCGCGGAGTAAACGGGCAGCGGGCATCAGGGGCTGTGATGGGTGGTGTTATTTTGGGGCTGAGCAAACCGTGTCGCGTGCTCCATAAACTCCTCTCCTCCAGGTCGCAGGGTCATCTGTTTGGTGGGTGCTGGAATCTCCACGTGTAAGTGCCCCCACCCCCAGTAGCCGCCCCCAGCTGGGGGCGCCCCTTCCAGGGCTGGGGAGGAGCAGTGCGGGGGCCCTCGACTGGGAGCGTTGCTGTAGTATAGACGGGCTGAGGTCCCTGATCAGATTGCTCGCTACCGCTCGTCCCCCAGCCGCGGGCATCCCAGACTTCCGCTCCCCGTCCACGGGCCTCTATGCCAACCTGGAGAAGTACCGTCTTCCTTACCCAGAGGCCATCTTTGAGATCGGCTACTTCAAGGTGTGTGCTCTCCCCCAGGGAGGAATGTCTGTAACCATGGGGGAACGGGGTCTCCTGGCTCCAGCTCTCATCCCACCTGGGGCATCTGGTCGCCCACCTGCCCTCTGGCTCTCTCTCCCACAGAAACATCCAGAGCCCTTCTTCGCCCTGGCCAAGGAGCTCTATCCTGGGCAGTTCAAGGTGAGCTCTTTTTTGCGGAGGGACAGGAAAGCTTGTGGGCAGCAGGTATGGGAAGGCCCTCTTGGACCCATATCATAAGGTCATGAAGTCCATGGGCTCTGGGCCCAACTCCTACTCCCCCATTTCCTGCTCTCGTGACCTTGAGCCTCAGTTTTCCCATCTGTGAAATGGGGATAATGCTGGTTTCTGCCTCACAAGGCCAGTGTGATGGTTCCATGAGGTGCAACAGGCATGGAACGGTCCCTGGCAGGGGCGGCGTGTGGTGGACGTCCTCTGTTCTCATCAGCATCGTTGCGATTGCTCCCCTCCAGCCGACCGCCTGTCACTACTTCCTCCGCCTGCTGAAGGAGAAGGGGCTGCTCCTGCGCTGCTACACGCAGGTAGGCAGGACCGCGGGCGTCCTGGAGGAGGCGAGCGGCCCGCTGTGCCCTGACACCTCAGGGCCTGAGAGCTCGGGCCACTGCTTCTTTGTTATGTGACCTGCAGGGAGTCACTTCCCCTCTCGCAGCCTCAGTTTCCCCTCCTGTAAATCAGAGGCCAGAGCAGCTTCGCTCTCTCAGATCTGTGGTGACGTGGCAGCCACCTCCTCTGAGGACCACGTCCTGTGTACCGAGAAAGGACCCCATGTCTGAGGGGCCACGTATGCACTGGAGATTTTCTGTTAGAATTTTCCAGCAGATGACATCAATCAAACAAAGCCAGTTCACTCTGACAGTTTTCCAGCTAATGGATGTCATGTGTTAAGGAAGAGGCCCCTTCCTGTAATTTGCATAGAGGCCTGGGATGTGCTGTGGGGACATGGCTCATTCACGTCAGGCGCTTAGCCGGGGCCTCGCCCTGGGGACTCAGGCGAGGATGGCTTACACTGCTGGCTTCTGGACCAGTCGGCAAGACTCTTGGGCTCTTGCAGCCCTAAAAGTAAAAAATGTTTGCAGCTCTACCTCTGTTTTATGAATATGTATGGGAATGACGCGATGTACTATAACGCTGATATGGTGCATGTTATAATTCATTCCTCAGAGCCCCAAATTCTAAATCGAGAGAACATATGAATATAGATAAGGGTTCCAGTGTTTTCATCCTGCAGCTGGCAATTCTGCAGCCTCAGAAGCTGCCAGCAGGGGGAGGATGATCCTTTTTATCTTTAGATCCAGTTTCTCAAACAGGGCAGGTGCTTCCGCCTGGGACTGGTGGTGGCAGTGGGGCAGGGGAGGGGACCGTCTCCTCTTCCAGGAGGAGCCCCAGCTCAGGATAAACCTGAGCTTTCTTGCTGAAGAGTCAGTTTTATCCACAGGACGTGGCTCAGGCATGACAGGAACAGCTCACTTGAAGCCAAGTGCCTTGTGTGTGTGATTTCATGAACTCCTCCCCACGCCCTGCTGCCGGCCCTGTTTGTCAGCTTTGTGACAGTGTTCGCTGAATGCCAACCCAGGGCCAGGCCCTGCTAGCAGCGGACACATCCCTGCCCTCCTGGGGCTGACCCCCTAATGTGGGGAGAGAGAGCGTGGATGAGATGGAGAAGCAGCATGTGGAGTGTGTGAGGTGGCCAGAGGTCCATGGAGCACGGCTGAGCAGGAAAGCGGAGTCAGAGCGCTGTGTGCGTGTGTGCGTGGCGGGTGCTGTTGTAAACAAGGGAAGGCCTCCCTGAGAAGGGGACATTTATACAAAGACCTGTAGAAGAGGAAGGAGGGAGCCATGGGATACTCTGGGAAGAGAGTGCATTCCAGGCAAAGGGAACAGCCAGTGCAAAGGTCCTGAGGTGAGACTGTATTTGGCGTATTCAAGGAAGCCCGAGAAGCTGGATCTGCGTGAGCGAGGAGGACAGGCGTCGGAGAGAATGGAGGAGCTGAGGTCAGGGAGGTAACGGGTGGACCATGTGGGGCCTCGTGGGCCACAGGGAGGGCTCTGGCCTTTCCCCTGAGTGAGATGGAGCTCCAGGAAGGCTCTGAACAGGCAGGGATGTGACCTGACCCAGAGGTTCACAGCATCCCTCTGGCTGCGTGTGGGGGGACAGACTGTGGGGGCCCTGGGGAGGGGGCACAGAGACCGGGCGGAGGCTGCTGTGATGGGCCAAGCAGGAGAGGATGGAGGCTGGGCCAGGCTGGGGGCCGTCGAGGGGGAGAAGTGGGCGGGTTATGAACCCATTTTGAAGGTGGAGCAATGGATGGATGGGACGTGAAATGATTCGTGAGAGAAAGAGAGGAGTCGGGGACGGCTGGACGGCTCTCAGCCCGAGCTACTGCTTTTTACTGAGATGCAGGATGTGCAGGCATGGGGCCGAGGAGGAGTCTGGTGCCAGGCCTGTTGGAGGCCTCAGGTGGAGAAGTGAGCAGACAGTCGGACGCAGGAGTCTGGACTTGAGCTGGAGAAGCAGCGAATAGACAATGTTTAAACTCACCAGACGGGATGGGATCGCAGAGGCCCCAGCATGAGAAACGCGGGCCCGGGACGAAGTAACCCATCGGGGCTGTGCGGAGCGCTCCCTCCCCAGCTCTGTCTCTGCCCATGAAACACACCATCCGCATGCTTTCTTCACCTGAAGCCAGCACGAGCACATCCTGGGGCCACTGTGCAATGTGCACGCACGCCCCCCCTCCTCGCACCGTGCGATGCACGGATTTAACTACCCAGACGTATTCACAATGGCATATTGTGGAAAACCATTTTCCACTCTCACCTTTCAGGAAGCCATTTTCTTTCCAACTCGTCACCTTCTTCTTCAACCTCAGCGCCTTTTGAGTACTGACCCAGTTTTCGGGAACACATTGTCTCCAGGTCTTTCTGAATTGTGACGACGCAGCACTTTTGAAGCCCTGGATGATGCTATTTTTATCTCGAGAGACAGTATCCCTTCAGACGGGAGAACAGCTGTCCTGTTCAGTCAAGTCACTGGGGTGGCCCCAGCAAAGCAGTGCCGAGTTGTTTTAAATACATGTATGACATTTCCACTAGACATAGGGGTCCTGGCTTTTTTTCGCTTGACCCCATGTCTGGGAGACCCTTCTGTATCCACATCCACAGAGCAGCTTCATGCTTTTGAAAAGCTGCCATCAGTGGTGTGTCAGTCAGGGACACAATGTTGCTTTTTTTGTGTGTGTGTGAGGAAGATGAGCCCTGAGCTAACATCCATGCCAATCCTCCTCTTTTTGCTGAGGAAGACAGGCTCTGAGCTAACATCTATTGCCAATCCTCCTCCTTTTTTCCCCCAAAGCCCCAGTAGATAGTTGTATGTCATAGTTGCACATCCTTCTAGTTGCTGTATGTGGGACGCGGCCTCAGCATGGCCGGAGAAGCGGTGCGTTGGTGCGCGCCCGGGATCCGAACCCGGGCCGCCAGCAGCGGAGCGCGTGCACTTAAGCGCTAAGCCGCGGGGCCGGCCCTGGGGACACAGTGTTTTGAAACAAAAAGTGAGCCAGGGATTAAAAATCAGGAGATTGCACTTAACAATCCAGACTTCAGGCTCCTTCTGAAAGTTGGGAAGAGCCGGCTGCACCCTGGGTGGCTTTCCCAGGGACAGCGTTGGCTGGAGCTGAGTGGCCACTGTCAACTAGGAATGGCCCACCACTGCCCAGGGCCCACCTCCCCACCTCGCCCCATTTCCTGCTGAGGTCAAATGCCAGTTGCTGTGTGTCATCAAGTGTTCGATGAAGCTTGTCCTTCAGTAGAGAACTTCCTTGGTCCCCAGCCCCCAGCTTCCCGCCCTAGAGGCCACTGTCGTCGCCTGCCTCTTGTGTCTCCTCTGAAGATCTTCTGCCCTTGGGCAAGCAAATACACAAATTCATATATAGTTTTTCCACATCGTGTACCCACTGCCTTTGTTCTTCTGGACCTTTAACATCTTGCAGAGATCGTTTCGTATCAGTCCATCGGGTCGGCCTCATTCTTTTTTGTTTGTTTGTAGTTTCTGTATCAAAAGTGGCATCCAAGAATAACAGAGGCGTCTAGGCAGTCCTTTTCCATGTTATTTAGTTGCACGCACACTGCGTCCTCACGTGCAGGGGAGGAGGCTGAGACAAGTAACAAAGGCACCACTCGGATTTCTGATAGAGGGAGGGGAAAGCCACAGAGTCTGGGAACAGTGACTCTTGTCTGCGCGTTTGGGGGACAAGCTGATTGCTGGCAGGGAGCAGAGCGAGCAGTCGGGGCCGTCTGCTCTTGAAAGGGAACCCTGTCCGTTGTTCACGGAGCCTCTGGGGGAGCTTGTGGGTTCAGCTGTGGGCCACGTGTGATGGGCCATCTCTGTGGAACGTCTGCCAGCGTCCCCATGAGCACCTGTCCCAGCAGCATTCCTCACAGACAAACAAAAGCTGTGCCAGAGGGGCTGTGTGTTTTGAGAAAAATGAGAGAGCACAAATGTCTATGTGGAAGAGAATATTCTTGCGTGTTTAATAAGGAATGTATCTCTGTCATAAAAGAATGCAAGTTAATATGCCATCTATGAAACAGACCATAGTAAGAAACCTGACTGCTAAATAGGAAGACAGTGTGATTCAAGCCAAATAATCCCTCCTGATTTGTTTATTTATGTTAATGCTTGGCCAGGGCTGCCACGTACAGCTGTGCAGGTTGGGTACTGCACAAGGATGCCACGTCTGAGAGGGCTCCATTTACAGTGGAGACATTGTAGATTTGTACATTTATTTCAACAAATTTCTGGCAGGTGGCACTCAAGTGTGGGGTTCTAGCAACACAAATTTTCTGAAAAGTGGAAGCAAAGTGGCCTGAAGTTGCAGAAAAATGCCATATGGGCTGGTGGTGGCAGTGGGCCTGGGGTCACAGACATTTGAATTTGGGCCCCTGCCTTTAAGCATCTATGACCTTGACCCTCTCAAGGCTTTCAGGCACACCCTGCCCCTGCCTTCTCGGCCTGTCTCCCTCGTTCCTCTTGGCCACAACTCCCTGCTCCCTTCTGCCCCCTGAGGGGTGCGGTTCACTCCTGACTCTCTTCCCTCCGGCTCTCCCTCCAGAATATAGACACCCTGGAGCGAGTGGCAGGGCTGGAGCCCGAGGACCTGGTGGAGGCCCACGGCACCTTCTACACATCGCACTGCGTCAGCCCCGTCTGCCGGCGCGAGTACACACTAGGCTGGATGAAAGGTGAGGGCCCGCAGGTTATCCACGAGGGCGGGCCTCCCGCCCCCCATCCACTCCTCAGCGCCGGGAACAGGGTCTCCACCCAGAGGGCCCCACTTCTGTCCCACACAGCTCTTTTTCATAGATAATGGCAGCCCCCAGAGATTCGAGGTGGCACTGAGGGTTCATTGCTCCCAACACCAGCTCACAGCCAGGTTATAACGGATGGAAGCTCTGGACCAAAGTCAGCCACACACAGAGATGTCCATTAGCAGAGAGGCCCCCAGATGGCCATACAGCCTGTCTGTGAGGCCGTGAAACCCCAGCTCTTTGTTCTTCGAGAGGCTCTGCCCCCATCTTCCACGAGGGGCTCATCAAGGCAAATGCAACTGCATCCTAAGAAGAGCAGAACTGTCCAGTAGAACTTTCGGAGACGAGGGAAATAGTCCATGTCTGCATTGCCCAATATGGCAGCCGCCTGCTACATGTGGCTACTGAGCGCTTGAAATGTGGCTAGTGGGACCAAGGAACTGAATTTTAAATTTCCTTTAATTTTTATTAGTTTAAATTTAAAATGGCCAGCACTGTGCTGGAGGCCCAGGATTCAAGTGGCCCATTAGTCAGATTCCGGCGAGCAGAATCTATGGAGTGTGGATCCAGACACAGCCCTGGTTAGGGAAGAAGGCTGGGGGCCGTCCCTAAGGGGTGCAGACTACAGGGCTCACTAGAATCATAGTCCCTGTTCATGGAGGGGCAGAGTGTCCAAAAAAAAAAAAATTCAGCCGATCCACATTTCTTGAATGCCAGCGAGGGCCTATTTCTGACATCCATTGTGCGGATTAAGAAGCCGTCTATTTCCCCCGTGGAAACCCATTTCTGACCTTCTTTATGCTGATCTCACAAAGCCTCTGGTGTCCCCGTGAGAGCAGGACAGCTGCAGCCCTGTAGGAGGCCCCGGAGTGTGGCCTTCTGACAGAGCGCCAGCTGACCGCCCCGGGCCGAGCATCCTGAATAGCCCGCTGCACGCAGCTGGGGGGCTGCACAATTCACGGTACCCCGCTGCCTTTCACTTCCAGCAACATCATATCATCACCCACAGAATAACATGCTGTGGATGCACAATATTTTAAAGTAAATTACAGACACAAAACAGTGCCCTGTGAGTATCTGATGAAGGAATGAATGGATAATTAAACGAACAAGCTAGGATTCTGTGGGTTGCAAGTCACCAAATGCTTTCAAGCTTCCCTCATCAATAAGCAATAAGAAGCAGGATTGTCATAAGGATGGTGTTTGGGGGGGGGGTCTGTCACAGAACCCGAGGGTGGGAAGCAGCTGTGCCTAAGGATTTGTCCCCGTCCCAGGGTCATCTGCATATTCTTCCCTGGCTCTCTGCCACCAGCCTGGGACCCGCCAGGCCCCTCTGAGCCAGGATGAACTAGGGCTGCCCTCAGAGCCACACTGGAGGAGATTCTCTCCCGAGTCCAGATCCCCGGGTGGGCTTGGTGATGCCCTGTTAGGCGCAAGCGTCTGCCATCTGATTATTCTTCCATCAAGAGCTGGAGCCTGGGGCTGGGGAGGTGGGGGCAGTTCTCTGAGAAGGAGGGGTCCTCTCTGGGCAGGCCTACACCTCAGGAGGTCCCCAGTGACTGAGGCGTGTTTGTTGACAGTGAAGGAAGGGGCGGAGGGGAGGGGCAGGGCACCCCCCGTCCCGGAGCCCCTTACCTCCGTCTGTCCCTCCTCTTCCCCACGCCCAGAGAAGATCTTCTCGGAGGTGACTCCCAAGTGTGAGAAATGTCAGAGCCTGGTGAAGCCTGGTGAGCCTGGGGCCGGGGACCCACCCGGGTGGATTTGGGCCGGGAGCTCCCCAACAGCCCTGCCCCAAGATGGCCACACGCCCCATCCACCCCGCCTCTGGCCCCCCTCCCTCCCTGGCCGGGGCCCCAGATCTGTCCCAGGGAGAGTGGGTTCTGTACCCCTGGCCTGTCCCCGCTGCTCCACACTGCCACCCAGCCCTCGGGTCTGCCTTCTCTCCTGCCTGTTCCCTCTCTGCGTCCTCGTCTCTGCCTCCCCCCGTTTCACTATCTCTGCTGTCTCTGTGTCCGTCTGTCCCTCTCTCTCCGCCTCAGACATCGTGTTCTTCGGCGAGAGCCTCCCAGCGCGTTTCTTCTCCTGCATGCAGTCGGTAAGTGTCCCCACCACCGCCCCCGGCTCGGCCCACGGGGCGCGGCCCCGGGGAAGGGCGCTTCCCCAGCCAGCGGCAGGTGGGCTTGCAGTGGGGGCGGGGAAGGCGGCCCAGCCTGGCGCTGGGTCCCGGAGCCCTCACTGGCCGCCCCCCCCAGGACTTCCTGAAGGTGGACCTCCTCATCATCATGGGCACCTCCCTGCAGGTGCAGCCGTTTGCATCCCTTGTCTGCAAGTAGGTTGGGGGTCGGGGCTGTGGGGGGCTGCTGGGGACCAGGGAGCCGCAACAGGTCCTCACCACTCAGCTCGCCGTCCCCTCAGGGCGCCCCTGTCTACCCCACGCCTGCTCATCAACAAGGAGAAAACTGGCCAGGTGAGTGGCTTGGGTCCACACCCCTCCCGCCTTCCCTCCTCCTCCTCAGCTGGGTCCCACGTTCCCTCCCACTGGCTTCCTCGGAACGAGGGGATCCCCCTCTCTAGGGGACCCCAGTACTTTGGGATTCTGGAGCCCAGAGGGGTCAGGCTCCAGGCTCTTCTCACTCTGGGTCACAGGCCTCTGGGTCAGTCAGGACCTTTTGAGGAAGCGACAGAAGCACAACTTAGAGTGACGTAAGCTAGAACAGGAATGATGTGCTTCCCGGGACTGAAGAGTCAGGGCCAGCCAGACCCAGGGCCTTCAGCAGTGCGTCGGGAGCGCCACCCCTCTCTCGGCTCTCTTCCCGAGGTGGCCTCACTCCCAGGCAGGGGCCCCCTCCTGGCAAGGGAAGTTTCCTCCAACAGGCAAAACATACCACGTGCCAGATGCTGTTCTAAGCATTTTCTATGTGTTAACCCACTGACAGGACAACCCTACGAGTGGGTTCGATGATTACTCCCACTCGACAGATAAGGAAACTGAGGGTCAGAGAGGCCAGGTCACTGGAGCAGAGTCACAGAGCTGGGCTACAAACCCAGGCCACCTGGCTCCAGGTTCTGTGCTCTCAGCTCCCCTACCCCCCGTCCCCTGTAGACTGACCCTTTCCTGGGAATGATGATGGGCCTTGGAGGAGGCATGGACTTCGACTCCAAGAAGGCCTACAGGTGAGGCTCTGGCCTGCGGTGGGGGGTTGGAGCCTGCAAGGGATGGGCCCAGGTGGGAGGGAGGGCATGGAGTCACACAGACAGGGCAGAGCTGGCGGGCCTGGGACCAGCCTGGGAGCTCTGACTCTCTCACCCGCCCGCAGGGACGTGGCCTGGCTGGGTGACTGCGACCAGGGCTGCCTGGCCCTTGCTGACCTCCTCGGATGGAAGGTGAGGAGCCTGGGCACCCCCAGCCCACCCTGAGCCCAGTCCCTGGACCTAGTCCTGCCCCACGGGTCCTCTGACCTTTGTGAACTTTGCCCCCTGCAGAAGGAGCTGGAGGACCTTATCCGGAAGGAGCATGCCAGAATAGACACTGAGTCGGGGTCAGGGAGCCCCAACCCCACCACTTCAGCATCCCCCAGGACATCCCCACCGCCCGCCAAGGAGGAAGCCAGGGCCGTGGAGGCTGAGGAACCCCAGTGACAGCTGCTTCCTCCGGGCAGGACGCCCAGCTCCTTTGGGACAGCTGACCCCCCACCAGCCCTGGCCTCCTCTAACCTTTAGCTCTTGTCTGGGAAGCTCAGAACATTTCCTCAGTCTCTTAACCACTCCCTCCAAAAACGGGGGTCCCAGACCCCCTGACCCCGGCAAATCTCTAACATTTCCTGGGGGCCGAGGCTTGGGCAGCCCGGCTCTAACACTCAAAGCCTCTAACCACCCCTAGCCGTGAGGCCCAGCCTCCCCTAATCTCTAACTGCTCCCAGGGGCCGGGGGGGTGGGGACCTGCAAACTTCTAACTGTCCCAGGATCCCACGACAGGGGGCCCGGGGCCCCCATGCTCTCTACTGCTCCCAGGGGGCTGTGGCCAAGCAGACAAAATCTAACCATCCCTGGGTGGGGTGTGGGCCCTGCAAACATAACTCACACCCAGTGGGGGGACCCCCAGTCCCTGCCTCAACTCCCAAAGTGAGTGCCAGGCCCCCTTCCCTCAGGACCCACTTCCCATTTGGGGATGGACAGAGGTGTTCCTTATTGGAGAGAAATTAAAAACAAAACAACAACTCACAATCAGCTGTCTGGCCTCGCTGTTCATTTCCATGGGCGCCCAGGGAAGCAGCGGGAGGGAGGGGGTTAGATCTCAGGCCACGAAGGAAACCAGAACATCTACAGGCCCGTGTGAGGAGCAGAGCGAAGGTGCGGAGAGGGGACTCCAGGCTGGCGGGAGCCTCGTGGCTCTTCCCCTGGTCTCCCAGGCGGCCAGGGTCCCTTCCTCCACAGCCCGGTCACCCAAGGCCTGAGCCCCCGGAAGGAGAAAGGAAGGTCGATTTCAGATACCCCCAGCCCCGCCTCTTCCCCCGGCCCACTCAGCTTCCTCTCTACGAGGAACACTTTCACTTCCTGCTACTCCAGGCCTCGAGAGCAGGTAGGGGCCCCCAGGGGCCGAGCAGCTGGCATCGTCACCCCCCATGGCCTCCATTTGGTATTGGGCAGCTGCCCCATCCCGCCCTGCCCAGCACCACCCACCTCCTCCTCCCCACTCGTGGTACCCAGGCGAGCATCTGCCTCCCTCCCCCGCCCTCCTGCCTGCTCTCTCCCCGAGAGGGCACCTGCTTTCTGTTCCCCCTTCCTAACACCCTGGGCTTTGGGTCAGTGAGCTGACTGATTTGTTCAGCTGTTCATTATGCATCTCCTACACCCACCCCACGCAAGAATGGAAGCCCCCTTGAGTAGGGGCCTGGTCTGTCCATCACCCTTTTCCCGGGCACTGGCACCTAATTCTGGGCCTGTACTCAATAAATCCTTGTTGGATGGTGGAGGGATGCATGGACCCTCCCTTCCCGGACCCAGGTTTCCTACTCCTGGGACGGCTGCTGGGAAAATATGCAAAAATGCCCTCCTCAAGTGACAACCCACTGTCGGACTGTGTACCTGTGGGGTCTGATGGGTGGATGGACGGAGGGACAGAGAAAGCAGAGAGGAAAATGTCAATGGTGGAATCTAGGCAGCGGGGAAATGGATGATCTCTGCAAAATTCTTCCAGTTTTCCTGAATGTTTGAAAATTTTCATAATACAATGTTGGGGGAAGTATCTGAGGGCCCCTCTGGCCTGGGAAGGGAGGAGGGGATGCTGTGTGACAATGTGTCCTGGTTACGGAGTGCCCACTATGGCCGAGCCCTTTTCCAGGCACTGGGTTTCAGCAAGGGTAGTTATTCAGCTGATCCACATTTGTATGGCTGCTCCGGATGTTAAAATCTGAAATATTTCCCTACCACTTGGTAAATGGCTGTCATTTTGAGTCCCCTCTCCCCCGCCCCAAGACACACTGGCCTCCTTCCTGGGATCCCCAATGTCCGCACCATCCAGCCACTAAAGAATTAACACCTGCCACAGCAAGGGGTCTTGGGTCCATTCTGATTCGTCAGGGCTCTGCCATATTGGTTGTAAATATTTTGAATATTACTCCTGGGCTGGAGCAGCCTTGAGCCTTATCTTCCTCCCCTCCAGAGGCCTGACCATGGCTCGCTGGCCTCCCGCATCCTGAGGATGGCCTGGCCAGAGGACAAGGCCTTAGCAGGCCCCACCGACGGGAAGAGGTGAGGGCTGCTGGAGCTGAGATGTCCATCTCCTGTCCCTGGATTCAGAGCTCCTTCCACCTAATGCCTGCCCCCCACAGGACCCTGAGCCCTATCTCTGACCTTTGCCCTTGGGCTGTCCCTTCCTGCACCTTTGACCCCACCTCAGTGTCCACCCACCCACCTCTGACCCCTGGTCTCCTGGACCCTGCATGTCCCAGACTGGTCCCATCACAGACAAATGGAGCAGGCGAGATCACCTTAGGGGTCCTCAGGACCCCAGAGCCACTCCTTCGCCTGCAGAGGACATGGGGGGTGTGGCAGATCCCAGAGCTGGATGCCCAGGATGCAGAAGCCGTTCTGGAGCTGTGGCCACCAGGGGTGAGTACTCACAGCTGGGGACCCTCCCCATGACACTCTGGATCAGTCAGGACTCTGCTGGTTGCTAGTGACAAACACAATACAAACCAGGCAGACCAAAAAGTCTACTTATTGATTCAAATAACTGAAAAACCCAGAAGTAAAAGTAATTTCAGGAATGTGTGGATCCTGAGCATCAGACTACTTATAAATTTCTCTTCATTCCCTTGCTTGCCGTTGTTTTAAACTGTGGGGATTCTGAAGGTTTTGGGCTGCAAGTAACAAGCTCTGATTCTATAGTAGCTTAGATAAATAGGCGTGTATCTTTCTAACATAAACAGAAAGGCCGCTGCTGGCTCTAGTTCAGCAGCTTGGGTGACATCAAGGCCAGCTTCTCTGCAATTCTCTTGAACGTCCCTCATGGTCACCCAGTGGCTGCCCCAGCTCCAACCACACATGTGCATTCCAGGCAGGAGGAAGGGAAGAAAGGAGGCACCAATTGCATCTGTTTCTTTTACCAGGAAAAAAAAAAAAAAAGCCTTCACAATTGATTCAGAATATATGGATGGGGCCCAGGTAGCAATATTTTTAAAAGCGCACCTGGAGTTATACAGCCAGAGGGGAGAAGCTCTGCCTACATCAATCATTATCCATCTTCTGTGGCTGGGCATATTAATGCCCTGAACTGAGCTGGAGTTTTGCAAGGAATAGGGGATACATTTGGATAAGTTAACTAACAGGTCTACCAAGGCTTCCTCCTCAGGGGGGGCTCTCTCCTCGTGGTGGCAGAGATGGTTGGTCCCAGCTTAGGGCCACATCTCACCAGCTTAGCAACCCCAGTGTAAAAAGAGGCCTCCTTCCAAAGAGATCCAGCAAAAATCCTGTGGAAGGTTTCCATCGGCTGAGCTTGGTTCACACACCCATCTCTGAGCCAATCACAGTGGTCAGAGAGCACTGTCATCCTATTGGCTAGGTCAGGTCATGGACCCACCCCTAGGGCTTGGGGGGAGTTAGTCCCACCCACAGGGGCTGAGAACAGGGTTTCTCTAAAAGAAATTTGGGGTTTGGAACCCAAAATAAGGGAAACGGATGCTAGGCAGGCAAAAGCATCTACACAAATCCTCTTCAAGCTGACCTTTGCCTCCATCCCCCAGAGTTTCCTGGTCACAGGACATGACTCCAGCCAGGTCCTGGTGTTGAGGACAGGACCTTCACGAGGGGAAGTCAACACCTACCAGATCCGGAAGCTTCCTGGAGGTTAGGAGCCTACCCCGGGGTTTCCAGGCCACAGCAAATTTATCACCAAGAATGATCAGTTTTACTTCCAACATATCTCTTGAATCTTCCCAATTCTCTCTGCCTCCATCACTCTAGTCTGAGCCACCGTCACCTCCTGGCCAGACAATTGCATAGCTTCTTCTCTGGTCTCCCTGCTCCTACTCTTTCCTTCCTGCAATCCATTCTGAGCACGGCAGCCAAAGTGGTATTTTCACACATCAATCAGATGTTATATACTCCTGCCCCAAAACCTGCAAAGGACATGCAACATGCTTATATAAAATTTTAAACTCCAGCATCATAAGGTGCTGTGTGATTGGTCCCTGCCCACCTCCCCATCGACGGCCCCTCATTCACTCTGCCCCAGCCGCACTGTCCTCTTCCCTCTTCCTTGAGCATGCTAAATGTGTCCCAGCTTCAAAGCCTCTGCATTTGTTCTCCCTGCATGAATGCCCCTCCTTGAATGGTTGGTTTGGTTTCCATCCTTCAGGCATCTGTGACCACCACAGCTCAGATAGCCCCTACTGACTTTCAATTGCTCCATTTCTTCCATAGCACTCAGTATAATGTACACATACCTTTATTTGTTTACTCATTTATTTTCTGTCTCCTTCCAGTAAAAGGTAAGCTATAGGGAGGCAGTGAATGTGTCTGCCTTTTGACAACTGCATCCCCAGTGCCTAGAGATGAATCGGGGCTCAATAAATATTTGTCTAATGAATGAATCCTATTTGGTGGCATAAGTGGGATGCAAGTATAAAGACACAAGAACAAATGGGGATTCTAAGAGGTAGAAATTTTCCTATTCTGAAGGTTCTTAGGGGGATGGCTGGACTGGGGAAGAGAGTCCCAGGAAAGAGAAGGCGGCCACCCCTCAGGTTTCCTAATTTGTCCCTCCTGGCCCCCTCCCCCAGGTGTGTCTCTGGAATCCTCTAACCTCTGCATGCCAGACCTGCTCCATCTCCTGGCCTTCCTATCAGCCAGCAGGTACAGGTCACCCATCAAAAGGGCTAAGGGGGCTCCTTCCCTAAGACACCCCACCCACATCGTGGCTCCCCCTGTATCTTTTCTCAGGGATGTTTTGCCCAGAACACTGCTCTTGCCTCCTCCCACTCTAGGGCCTGGAAACAAACACACAGGTGAGGCATGGTTCTCCAAGAGAGGGAGAGGCCAACTTTCCAGCCTCCTTGGCCCAGGAGGATGGCACTTGCGGGACCAGACTATTGGTCTTGAGGCAGGATAGGGATGGGGGTCTGAGAGAGCTGGGGAGGCTTGACTCCTGGGCCTGAGCGAGGAGGGGCCTGGGACCAAGCCTCAGCTCCTCCAGTAATAAGGCTGGGAATTAAGTGTCCTGGTGGCCCGAAGGAACCAGGGCTGGCCCCTCGGGCATCTGGGACACCTCACTTTCTGCTGGCCCTCAGATCCTCTGCAGACTGGCAGCATCCAGCTCAACACCTCAGGGAGGGTGCTCTCTCTGGTGAACAAGCTCTACCTGGAGACCCACGGAGGATGGAGGATGGACCAGATTCCCTCGGAGACACCTCCAGAGGCTGCGGAGAAACACAGTCCAGGTCAGCTGGGCAGGGCCCTGGGCCCCTGAGGGATGAGGGAGCTGCTGCTGCTGTTCTGTGGGTCCAACCCTCTCCCCACATCCAGCCCCCAGGAACCCCACCCCTCACCGAGTCTCCTGGGTGGAAGGCCCACTCAGCCCGGAAGTACAGCATCCTGGGCCAGCTCTGACCGTCCTGGTGGAGGAGAAGGAGGAGGAAGGGGAGGAGGAGGAGGAGGAGGATGAAGAGGATGACTACAAAGAGGAAGAAGAAGGACCTGAGGATGTGCTCACCCGGCACATCCGGGCTCTGGCCAGGGCCCGGAGCAGCTATGTGGCCAGGCAATTCCGGGTCCTTCGTGCGCGCCTCACCTCGGATGCTAGGGGCCCCCACAGGCCTGGGGACCCGGCCACAGAGCTGCTCCAGGATGTGCGGCACCTCCTTATGGACCTCCAGGAGCACTTAGCCAAGGACCCGGATGTCAGGGCTGTCTTTGGAAGCAGGGGGCCTGGGGTCGCCCATAAGGACGAGGATCTCGGTAATGAAGAGGACTGGGAGGGAACTTACGGCCACGCCCTGAAGCCCCACAGGTTCACATGTGGCATCTCCTGGCCCTACATACGTGTTCACACCCAACTTCATTCTCTCCCCCCATGTGCACACACACGCCCTTTCCTACACAGAGTAGTAACACCTGTTCTGTTCCCCACTGATCTATCTCACACGTGTGTGACAGCCATGCTCCCTCTCCCGCTCGCGTATTCACACCCAGGCTCCCTCTTCCACACGTGTTCACACCCACGTCTACACTTGTGGGTGGCCAGAAGCTAGGGAGGGGTGGCGGTCAGCCAGGGTGGGTCTGCGGAGCGAGTGGGTGGGCGTGGGTCAGCGTGGCGACCCTTCCCTCACCCACCCCAACCCCTCGCAGGCCCCGCGGTGGAGGCGGCCTTGTGCCGGGCCGTGCTGGCGCCGCTGAAGCCTGCCCTGTGGACGCGACTGCGCACGCTCCGAGCCCCGGAGCTGCGGCGACTGCAGCGGCGACAAATAGCCCTGCGGGAGGGGGCGGGGCCTCCGGGCGCGCAGGGGGCGGGGCCTGGGGGACCGAGCCCCGCCCCGGCCTCCTCCCTGCGGAGCCGCATCCACACGCGCCTGGAGTATTTCCATGCCGCCTACTCCCCACGCCGCAAGGTGGCGCTGCTGCTGGCGATGTGCAGTGACATCTACGCCGGCTTGGCTCAGGGTGAGAACCAAGGTAAAGGCGGCGTCTGCGTCTACCTGGATGTGGAGTGGCTTGAGGGTGGCCGGAGCCAAGTAGGAGGCGCCTGTGCACGCACGTCGAGGGGAGAGGGTGGCATGCTCTAGTGCGAGGCGTCTACGCGGGCCTGGGGATCTGGAATGAGGCATCTGCATGCGCACCAAGGTGAAGGGCAGCCAGCGCGCGCGGTTCTGGGGATCGGATGGAAGGTGTCCGCACGCCCCCATCCACTTCAGAGCCTGTCCTCCCGCTCCCCCAGAGCCCCTGGGGGCCGACGCCTTCCTGCCGGCGCTGACGGAGGAGCTGATCTGGAGTCCGCACATTGGGGAGACGCAGCTGGACGTGGAGTTTCTTATGGAGCTCTTGGATCCGGATGAACTACGGGGAGAAGGTGAGCCCCCATCCCCAGAGCGCCGGGACCCAACAGGGGGCGCCCCAAACAGCCTCGCCCTGCAGCAGCAGGGAAGGGGGACCTGGGGCGACCAGGGGAGCCGAGAGAGCTGCGCTGACCCCCGTCTTGCCCTTAGCCGGCTACTACCTCACCACGTGGTTTGGGGCCCTGCATCACATTGCCCACTACCAGCCCGACGCGGGCCGCGCGCCCCAGGGGCTCAGCTCCGAGGCCCGCGCCTCCCTGCGCCAGTGGCACAGCCGGAGGACGCTGCACCGCCAGGCGGGCGCCGGAGCACAGGTGACCGCGCGTGCCGACCGTGGGTGGAGGCGAGGGCTGGACCTGTTCCCTTTCTGACCCGGGCCTCTCCCTACAGACCGACCTGCCCTTTGAGGAACCGTGGGCGATAGAGACTGTGCGGTGAGATCAGTGATGATTAGGGCCCTCAAGCCCTCCTGCTGCTCAAGCAAGGTGCGAGAGGCACCTGGGACAGCACGGACTTCTGCCCCCTGTCGTTTAGGGACAGCAAGGGGGAGGGCCTCCCAGGAAAAGGGAGCAGGCCCACCTCTGGGCCTTTGCATTGGCTGTTCCTACTTCCTGCAGTGCCGTTCCCTAACATCCACACTGCTCCTTCCCTCCCTTCCTTCAGGTTTTAAGGCAGATGTCACCTTCTCAGTGAGGCTCGTCCAGGCACCCTTGCCTAAAAATGCACCTCCTCATGTCTGACCCTCCAAAAGATGTCCACCTCCTAATCCCGAGAGTCTGTGAATATCTCACCTTATATGGTAAAAGGGACTACATGTGTGATGAAGTTAAGGATCATGAGATGGGGAGATTATCCTGGATTCTGTGGGTCCAATCACAAGGGTCCTTATGAGAGAGAGGCAAGAGGGTCAGAGTCAGGGAGAGGGATGTGAGGATGTGAGCAGAGGTCGGAGTGACCACCAGGAACCGAAGAATGCAGACACCCTCTGAAAACACAAGGAATGGATTTTCCCCTGGAAACTCCAGAAGGAACTCAGAGAAAGTTCCAGAAGGAACTTTGATTTTTAGGCCCTTAAGACCTATTTTGGACTTCTGACCTTTAGAACTGCAAGATAATAAATTTGCGTTTTTTTTAAACCACCAAGGTTGTGGTCGTTTGTTACAGCAGCCACAGGAAATTAATACACTCCCTTACTCTGACCTTTATTTTTTTCCATAGAAGCTATCACTCCCCCACATACCATATAATATACTTATTTATTGTGTTAATTATCCATAGTCTTCTCCCTCCCCTTAGAACAGCACTGTCCAGTAGAAATACAATATAAGCTACACATGTAATTCTAGATATTCTAGTAGCTACATTAAAAGAAAACTAAAAAGAAACAAGTGAAATTAACTTTAATAACATATTTGGTTTAACCCAATATATCCCAAATATTATCACTTCAACGTGTAATCAATATTAAAAAAATTACTGAGATATTTAACATTATTTGTGTGTGTGCTACATATTCAAAATTGAGCGTGTATTTTACACTTCAGCAAATCTAAACTTGGAGTAGCCACATTTCAAGGGCTCAGTAGCCACACAGGGTTCGTAGCTACCATTTTGGATGATGCAGCCTTAGAATGTCTGCTCCCAGAGGCTAGGGATCTCTGTCTTGTTCATAGCTGTATCCTCAGAGCCTAGACAAATGTCTGGCACACAGTAGGTATTCAATAAATGCTTGCTGACTGATTCAATGAGCAAAGTTTCTGTGGTGAGCTGAAAATGGCTCCCCAAAAGATATCCACATCCTAATCTCTGGAACCCCAGAATGTTACCTTATTTGGAAAAGAGTCTTTGCAGTTGTTATTAAATTAAGTATCTTAAAAGGGGGAGATTATCCTGGTTTATCCAAGTGCGCTCTAAATGCAATCACATGTATCCTTATAAAAGGAAGGCAGAGGGAGATTTGACACAAACAGGAGAAGGTGATGTGGAGACAGAGCAGAGAGATTTGAAGGTGCGGGCCTTGAAGACTGGGGGGATGCAGACGCAAGCCGAGGAGTGCTGGCAGCCCCCAGAAGCTGGGAGAGGCAAGGAACAGACTCTCCCCTAGAGCCTCCAGAGGGGGTGGGGCCCTGCCGACACCTTGATTTCTGCCCAGTGATACTGATTTCGGACTTCTGGCCTCCAGAACCGCGAGAGAATAAATTTCTGTTGTTGAAGCCAAAGTTGTGGTCATTTGTTACCGCAGCCAGAGGGAACGAATGCAGTTTCTCAGCACTTAATTTAAAAAAGAGAAAGATAGGAGCAGAATTAACACCCAACTCAGTCTCATTCTAGCAACAAGGGACGCTCATCAGCAGATACACGAATTAACTAGAAAAATAGGAGAAGCCCTCTCAATCCATCTCACAAAGAGACACCTTGCTATTAAAATTTTATATTTTACACTTGATAATGATCAAAATTTTGTAATTTTAAACGTCAACTAAAAAACGTACCAAAGAAGAGAGATTTTTTTGGCAATTGTTTTTGAAAGCCAAAAATCTTGAGGATGGCTGCACTCAGCAGTGAGGCAGGGACTGGGGGAACGGCGGGATGCAACCTCTGATCTTACGTTCATACAGAACTGAGGGGGCTGGCCTAGCCCCGGTGGCCGAGTGGGTGGGTTCCAGGCGCTCTGCTTTGGCAGCCTGGGCCTGGGCTCGGACCAACACCACTCTTCTGTCAGTGGCCATGCTGTGGTGGCGGCCCGCATAAAAAAAAAAAAAAAAAGAACTGAGGAGGCGGCCGGACCCCAGGAGATATGAGGGGATCATCTCCTTCAAGAAAGAGCCAATTTCCAGGGCAAGCAGGATGCCAAGAATTTCATCATATATATTTTGTGTGTATGTATGTATGTATATATGTATGTATATATTTTTAATTTATTTTTAAATTGTAATAAAAAACATAACATAAGGTAAAGTTTACTCTCAACTATCTTTACGTGTACAGTTCAGTAACATTAACTATATTCACATTGTTGCGTGACAGATCTCCAGAACTTTTTCGTCTTGTAAATCTGAAACTATACCCATCGAACACAACTACCATTCTACTTTCTGTTTCTATGACTTTGGCAACTCCAGATATCTCATATAAGTGAAATCATAGTTCTATTTGTCTCTTGGTCAACTCGCTTATTTCACTAAGCATAATGTCCTCAAGCTTCATCGTGTTGTAGGGTGTGACAGAATTTCCATCTTTTTGAAGACTGAATAATA